TCACACTGGGATGCAGCATTAAGGATTGTGAAGTATGTAAAACTAGAACAAGTAATGGGCTTAATGATGAATAGTGGAGCAACAGATAGCCTTACCTGTTTCTGTGATGCAGATTGGGCAGCATGTCCCAATACTAGGAGGTCAGTCACAGGATTTCTGGTTAAGTTTAGGGACTCCCTGATATCTTGGAAGTCAAAGAAACAACAAACTGAGTCAAGGAGCTCAGCTGAAGCGGAATACAGAAGTCTAGCTGCAGCAACTTCAGAAGTAGTTTGGCTCTTAGGGGTATTTGCAGAATTAGGAGTGCAGATCAAGCAGCCTGTGGACACGTTTTATGATAGCAAAGCAGCACTTTAAGTTGCAGCAAATTCTATCTTTCATGAACGGACTAAGCACATAGAGATCGATTGCCACTTTATAAGAGACAAGATCAAGGAAGGAAAGTTGAAAACACATTATGTGGGGACTAGAGATCAACAGGCAGACTTGCTCACAAAAGGGCTTGGGAGAGTTCAGCATTCATACTTGTTAGGCAAGCTGGGAGTGCTCAACATTTTACACCCTCCGGCTTGAGGGGAAGTATTAAGATTAGTAGATAGCCTAAAGCGGCTTAGTAGCTAAATTGAGCAGTTAAGTGGTTAATTAGTTAGGCTGTTAGTGGGGTTGGTTGACAGATGTATATGAGCTGTCCAATTAGTTAGTCATTAGGCTTAATTATAAATAGAGTTGTACAGCAGTTAGTTATAATCAATACAACAGTAGCTTCTCTCTCAACTCACTCTCTGCACCTCCATTGATGAGCTAAGAAACGAAGCTCCACACAATGAGAAAATCAACATGTTATTCTTTATTCTCAAATTTCGCATTATTTTCGTATTATCTTGATGGATGAAGACTAAGTGCATGCATAACCAAATTGTGTTATTCTTTATTCTCAAAAATGATATTAAATATTCCAGATTTCATTTAGCTAAAGTAACCAATCTTTTCTTCAAAAGGAACAAAACAATATCGATTCGAGAAGAAATATCTGTGCGAGGTACACTTCTCATCTCATGTATTTATATTTATAGAAAAATACAAGTCATTTTACTTAAGGCAAAGCGGGAGTCGGTCCCCAAACAAGCATATCTCAAGAAGAAATCAAAATTCTTTTGATTACAAAAATTTTAAGAAAAAAGAAAATTACCAAAAAAGACATAAAAAGATAGGGGTTGGTGGGGGGGGGGGGGGTAAGAGTAACTTCCGAAGGAAAAAAAAAAAGAGTAACTTCCAAGAACTACTTTATGTAAATGTAAGTCTCAAATGGTCCACAGCTTGAAATAATTATTGCAAACTTGTAGAGTTTTCTTTTAAATTAATGGAACTCATTATATTCTTTAGCAAAGGCATCATTAAAAGTCCAGATCAATATCCTCCCTTTGCGTTATATATGTTTGCTTGAGTTATATATATATATATTTTTGTGATTTTTCACCCACTGTTCGATAGCACTATTGAGGTACTGACTAATCTAAATTCGTAATATATAAGGCTCATCAAAGGAAAAGCGCTCAAAACTACACTTTGTTCATATGCCTTGACGGAACCCAAGAGGCTAAAAAGATGAGAACAGTTCCATTGTCGGAGGCCAGAGCACCAAACTTTGGAGAAATTCCAGAAATAAAACTTTTGAACGTTTGATATTGGTATTAAAAAAATTATACATGTTCGGCATATGAAGTGAAGTGATACCCATTAACTAATTGTGCACTTTCACTAATGTTAGACTCAAACTTAGGATTTTTTATTTTTTATTTGGAAACATCATATAACTTGAGCGAAGTCTTGGAGTAACGGTAAAATTGTCTTCATGGTCACGGGTTCGAGCCGTAAAAAATGAAAATAGCCACTAATACTTTAGGGTAGACTGTCTACATCACACCCTTTGTGGTGCGGCTCTTTCCCATGCGCTTTGTGCACAGACTGCTCATTCTTAAACATCCTATAACTTTTCTTGTTTTTTTGTTGACTAATTTTGCTCTTGTTAGACACAAAATTAGGGATGTTTCAAATATAATAGCAAAAGCTAATGGTTGGTGAATAGGGAGCAAAACCAACAACCTTTCAGTCTCAAGGATCATTTGAACTTTCACGACTCTAGATGATTGATAAAAGTATAACCAAGTATTTACCTATAATCAACTGCATGAAAATGACAGTTTAAGACTAATGAAAATTAAGTCCTCGTAAAACCATATTTGGTAATTTCCCTTCTATACCAATTTTGGTAGGTTTAACTTATCATATGAAAAAAAGATTCTATTATCATGATTACAACGTCATGTGTAGGTACACGTGTTATTATCAGTTTCATTGTTTGGTACGCGAATGTATGTTAGACCTATAATACTTCTCTTTTCATTTTATTTGGGCATATTTTCTAATTAGTCTATTTCAGAAGGAATACATCTCATAGTTTCTTAATAAAAAACTCTTATACTATTCTTAAGATTAAAATATTTAATTTAATATAAATATAAGGTACCGAGTGAGGAATTATCCCTCCGCGTGCAATTTGTTACTTTCTTGAAGGGAGCCTTGTGAGCAACGGTAAAATTGTCTCCATGTGACCTATAAGTCACAGATTTGAGTCGTGAAAATCAGATACTTGCATTAGGTAGGCTGCCTATATCACACCCCTTTGATTAAGATCCTTCCCCTAATCCTGTATAAACACCAAATACTTCGTACACCGAGATGCCCTTAATTTCCTACTTTCTTAGATAGCTTTTGGGAAAGAAATTAGTTAAGAGTAGTCTTCTAGATGCATTTTGGTGGATGATGTGGTGCAAGTGTTCATTTCTTGATGGATGATTAGTTAAGAGTAGTCTTCTACAAATGGAATTATATCATAAGTGCCACATAAAAGAGTTGTATGATTATCTTTGCTGCTAGATTTATTGCAATCTGCATCAGATTTAGCTTTTTCATTAAAGTGTAGCACCTACTCTTGGACTTTGTCCGGATATATATGATAAATTCTTTTAAACCACTATGAAAAGGGACAAGCCAACTTTGGACATATCTGGGATGTATGATAAAGATTTTAAAACCTCCTTGAAAAGGAAAAGGGAGAAAATTAAATTAAATATAAAGAGATCGAGAAATTGCAACCTTTGAAGCTTGCTGATATTACTAATTTCTGTTTTGCAATATGAATAACAACAAAAGCTTGCTGATGGAAAGGGTAAAAAGGTCAAAAAATATCTCTCTAGCATGAGAAGAATGTAAATTTTATTCTTTGTTATACTCTTCGCTCATTTATATTCTTAACGTTAGCGAATCATCTCGATTTACCTGAAACATATATGGAGGATTTTTTAAACCAGTCTATAGTAGAAAGTAATCTAAAGTATTTTGACACGTGAAAGTCACTCGGTCCAGTTAGAGCTTCAATCACTAAAGCAAATACGGGATGGTTTACTATAATAAAGTTAAGAACAATCTCAAAATATAACGAATAGTAAAATACTTTCATATGGTAGAAGGATAAAGTTAAACATTTTTCGTAAATTGTATAGTATCAGCTTTATCTCAATCACAATTTGTTGCATGACAGATTGATTTTCTTTTTCTATTTATAAATATGTTATACTGTCTTTTACACTTCTAATCCAAATTACAAATATCAGGGCGTGCTTGCGTATGCACGCACAAACATACATATAATGAAAATATCCTAATGATAGAAATCTGCAGGCATAAGAGTGTCCGCACTCTGGAATCATCTTTCTTGTGCGATGGTGATGGGACAATCAAGAATGGTGGAGGTAAGATTTTCTACTTTAGGTTCATAAATTAATAATAGAGAATAGTATTAAATAGTACTGACTTGACAAATCAATTAATGCAAGCTGATAAGAGTAGATATATAAAAATAACTGATGGCGAATGAGATAATTGTAATAATAATTGCTCTGGCGTTATTACTAATCGTCTACGAAGTACATATCCTTCAAATTTAATTTGGGAATTCCAGAAATTCAAGATTGTGACCTATATAGTCTACTAGGATTTTGTTTCATGGTGATGTTGACAGGTATTATGCTCTTAAGTAATCCATTACAGTATATTGTTTAATTAATTATATAAGTACGAATAAGTATCTTCCCAACCCACCAAAAAATCAATACTAGAATCTTTCAGTAAAGGAGCGACCAACTAGCAAGTGGAAAGGTTAGTCCCTTATTATATCCGTGATTATAGTACAACCAAGATTATAATTAGTTTATATATCACATTAGGTAGGTAATGGTTTAACAATAAGGTTTTCATATATTAGTAAACTGTATACCTCATCCTGAAGCTTTAGCCTTTAGAATTCAGATTACTTTGACAACACCCCCCAATAATCACTTGCATTAGCACAGACATTATCCGGTAACAAGATAAATATCTTATAGTTCAGACTGAATATGTTGGCACTAGGAAGATATTCATAAGAATTGGACGGAAAAAACCAAAAAAGCCAGATTTACAATTGGTAATTGAAAAATAGCAACAGTTTCAAAACTAATTGAAATTTAGCCACTTTTTCATGTAATGATAAAATATAAACAAAAACACCCTTAAAAATACGGAAATATTCCAACATAATATGCTGGAATTCGAAATTTTTACATATAAACTTCCAGCATAATGTACTAGAATTTCATAATGTTCTGGAATCGCAATATAATATGCTGAAGCTCCATAATCTAGCATATTATGCTGGAACTTTCCGTGTGTTGGAATTTTAACATAATATGCTGGAAGTTTATGCGCAGGAGCTCCATAATCCCGCATATTATGTTGAAACTTTCCGTATTTCAGCAACCCAGTAGCTATTTCTTAATGACTTTGCAAACTGGCTATTTTTCGATTACCAGTTCGAAAAGTGGCTAGCCCATGCTATTTTCACGAATTGGACCTAACCTTATCAACATCAATTGTAATTCAAGTGAGAATGAAGCTGTGAGTTGGGCCTAATAACCAGGACCAAATCCAGGGAAACATACTCCACATTCTAAATTTCTAATTAACCCTTCAAGTCAACTAGTCAAGGCAAAAAAAAAAAGTGAGGTTGCTTCAACGAGATAAAAAATACTAGTGTTAAAAAGCTACCAAACATAGTGCACAAAACTCACTTTGAGGGAAGAAACAGCAATATATCCTACAAAAATGGAAAAGGTCTCTCCATTTTCCATCTTGCTGTCTATATATACGTGAAAAAGGAAACATGTTACTAAGTTGCTTATAGTTTCGTCTCCCACATCAAACATCAACCATCAACCATTTGCAGTAGACTTGTAGTGATACTCGTCTATTGTGGAGTAAACTAGACCTTCAGACTCAAGAGATTCAATAGCTTCTCTGTCGTACAGAAACCATATGGAAAATAAGCAAAGAGCAAAAACGATTATAATGATATATAATATAATCATGAAAGAGAACAAGAGGGGAGAGACTTACAATATCTTCTCGGAAGGGACTTTTAGCTGTTGAGCAAGCTCATTGCGATGAACACCTTTTTCACGTGCACTGAAATAAAAAATGACAAGAGAGATTACTAACAAAGCAAAATCATTCAATGAGCTTGGTAGTCATATTCTCAATCAATTACACAGATACCCAATATCAAAAATAAATGAGAAAAGCAAAAGTATTGCGTCAGTTGGTTCATGGTTGAAAGTTTTATGTTTGAGTTGGAAAAGTTTTCAACAATTGAAATCAAATTTGTTTGGTTTTGGTAAAAGTTAATTTGATATTTGGAAATTAATAAACAATTTTTTTTTGTAACAAGTTGGATTTGTCCTTTGTCCAACTGGAAGATCTTCCTCACTATTTTCATTCCAGGATCACAAAAGCGATGTGAAAAGAACGTAAAAAGGAACCAACTTTCAGAACCAAAATAACTGCTTATGAAACCAAATCCAGTCAAACTGTTAGATACAGTGTAAGAACCATGTTGCAATACTTTACCAATCAGTTTACATCTAAAGTAACATAGTGTAGAGTACTAATAACTTTAGACATACGCTTTCGAAAATAACATATCCTGTGTGAAGGTTGGCTGAACAAATCCCTCTACTCCATTCAGCCCGATGTAGAGTCAAATTCACCACAAAGATGTAATCTTTTCTTTCCAATTAATTTTTTTAATGCTAATATTCATCTTCCTTTCCTCTAATATCAACTTTTTTAATGGCTGGCTCAATGCCATATATATTCAGACCATCTTATCACTATTTTGTAGTGATCTTGGAGGAAAGTTAGCTGGGATTAAAAGTTAGCTACACAGTTGAAGGTGGTTAGAACAAGTTAGTGTGCGTAAGGGACTTGACCCATTAGTTCTATAAATAACTACAGACAATAAGGGAAAGCAGGAATGGAAAATCTGATAAAACTCTCTCTCTCTCTCTACTATCTTTCTCTTATCTTTCGTGTTGTAATAAAATTGTCAAGTTTGTATTCTTGTTACTTTAGTACATTACATATTTAATGCCTGATTCAGACATTCAGAGCTACCGAAATGCAATTATCCAACATGACAACTGTAACACATTTCAGGAAGTAATAAACATCGGACATTACATATTCTCGAATTTAGGCAATCACCCATTTGTTAACACTAAGATCAAAATTTAATCAAAACCATTTATTTGCTCAAGGCTTATATGCAATGCCCTTTACAAATTTTCAAGATACCCACCACCTGATACAATCTAGCAAAAGAAGTAGGAAGCGGATCACTCAGACCGCAAAATATATCCACTTGTTAATGCCGCAATTGAGAAAGGAATAACTGTAGACTACCAGAACAGCAAGCATCTCTGCGAATTTCCAACACAAAGGCAGGAAGAGATGTTCCTCAAACAATCCAAATTTAGTCTCTTGATGAAAGTTCCCATTTATACTACAAAGGAATACCTAAAGGCATGCTCATGCCTGAGTTTAGATAAATAACACGTGTATATTTAGATCCTTTAAATGACTTAATAATGGAGATCATCATCATATTGCTAAGAATTAATATGTTCCCTAAGTTACCCCATCTTGCAGAGTTCCTATCCGGTGTTAGTAGAAACAAAGCCTTCATCTACTTTTCATTTGATAAAGAGAGACATTACGAATTTGACCAAAGCTCAACCATTCCTGATACATCCCGAAGTCAAAAATCTGTTATACTCCTCTCCCATTTTCCTCTATTCCAGAGCGACAGCCTAAATCCTCTTATTTACCTTTTTTTTTAATAACTGAGAAGCCTCGAGAGCCAGTGCACGGGTTCGAAACTCGATAGATAATGGGCTCGCTCCTCTACCATTCTCCACTTAACTACCAGGCTTTGTCTATGGTAGGGTTCGGACCCGACGTAATTCACACACTACCCGTTGCACTCTTACCACTAAGTTGATAAGATTTCTTTCAGGAGTTGGTAGCATGAGTTTTTACAGCAATACATCTAGTTTTATGGAGCACACAGTTGGATAAGATTACGCATTTCATAGCATCGAATAAGAACCTAAAAACTGGAATCAACCTGAGAGGAAAGGTCCCAAACAGACCATCTACGTGCCCTGCCTGGAAAACCATCTATTTTAACATTTATTAACCAAAAGGCAGGCAAGTCCACTGGGTGTTCTTTTCGTTTTTGAAAAGTTAGTCCACTGGATGGTCATAACTGGCCTGCATTTTTCCTGGCTTTGCGTTAGCTCTAACAAAAGTTATTAACATCGGTTACTCAAATGATGGCAGAGATGTTCACAATTATATCACAAGAAAGCAACCCCCTTCTCCGAAGGCGACCCTCTTGAATTTTCGGTTGTTTCCTAGATGGAAAAGCTCTGGGTTATAAATAGGACGATGAGGAGACAAGGGGTGAAGGATATTCAACTTAAAAGTGAATTTGTGGTGTGAAGAGTGCCTTATGACCCAGTATCTATTGATAGGCGAGAACAGACTGTTATTGACTGCTTCCCCAGTCTATTCTATTAGCCCTACATCCCTTTTTTTTGTTTTGGCCGTTTTTGTTACGCATTGAACCCCACTCAGGTGCTGACCGAGCAAAAAAGTAAGGCACGAGATAAAAGGAGAAGTACCCGACCTTGCAAAGAACCCACTCGCTATTTTGTTATCAAGTCTTCTCTAAAGCAAGTGAACAATTTGAAAGTTATTTCATGGAGTAACACTTGTATATTTTTCTTTCTTTGACATCTAACAGAACAGGAGTATCAGACCAAATCAGCCGCCAAAAAAAAGCAAAAAAAACAACAAAAAAAAACTTCGACGTGTAATAATCTGCCTTCATTTATACTGCTGTGATTGCCATGGTATTTGCACTAGAAAGAAGCAAACACTGAAAATGCATCGCAGTGAGAAATTTTTTTGGAGATTCTAATGACTTACAGGCATGACGGTTGTTGCAAGTAGTCCAATACCATTTTATCTACACCCCTGATCCCATCCATGTTGTATCCAGGAAACTGAAACTTAAAAGAAATTTACTAAATCACTGGTTATAGTGACAATGTGAAGAAAAAAACTGAAAATGAACATTAGAATTAACTACGCCAATTAAAAGAAAGAGCAAACGTAATTAGAGATACTTGAGTCGATGGTGAAGCTTGATATCCCTTTAAAGGAGTGTTGGCAGCTGAGCTAGGCACTTGACCTGACATAGACGAACTATCCTGTTGCCTCTGGAGGGGCAAAGGAAATACAACTCTAATCAGAATCTCATGTACATCATATTCTGTTTTAGCTTAATACATGCGAGGCAGTTTGCTAAATACCCGTAGCTTACTGTTGTAGCTATGAACAAAAATGACCTCTGCAAAGTGGCTTGCAATCTCATTGTAGTCATCCACAGGCCTAAAACCACAAAGATAAGAACTTAGGATCTTTACCACCAACTCGTCAAAGAAGATACAGAGGGAACAGGAGACGGGGGTCATCTTCTAACCTCCCAAGAGACACCGTATGAGTAGAAATAACAACTCTCATGAAACTTTTACATGCTTCATGCCCTAGCCATTCATGCACTAATATATAAGGACAGGTGTGTGGTTCAATCCATATAGATGCTTTTTAGTTTTAATTCATCAGAGATGTTTTTCTCGCAAACTATTGTCAAGTTGGAGTCTATAGAAAGTTCATTGGTTTAAGAATAAATATTTAAAAACTCCGTCATGGTTAATGAAAATGACGATCACAAATTGTACATGTCAACATAGTTAACATTAAGAATAAATATTTAAAAACTCCGTCATGGTTAATGAAAATGACGATCACAAATTGTACATGTCAACATAGTTAACAAGTTTGGTTTGCCCAGTTATTGATTCATCACACTTAAGGGATCAATCAGACAATGCAAAACCTCCCATTTGTAACAAGTTTACATGCCAATTTTGCTTAACAACTGATCTCCCTGTGCTTCTCCAGAAAAGGAGGCACGGAACAGATACAGTTCCCTTGTTTTGACAAACAACTATCTCGTCATTTCACGTGCTTCTTAGAAAGAGACAGTTGTACGCACTCTCTCCCCCTTCTATCTGATGGACTTCCTCTAAACCTTAAAACATCCCCCAAAAGTTAAAAAAAGAATTCATCCCAATTAGGGGTGTGCATTCGATTTATTGAGTCGATGTTGACCCTTATCGATAATTACTTATCGATTATCGATTTGTACATATGCTTATCGTTATCGTTTCAATAAGGTTTCGATTTATTCGATTTCGATTTATCGATTTTTGGGGCTTATCGATTCGGTTATCGATTACACCAATAAGAAAATTTACGGGATTCCACGGAAAGTATATCACTATAAACACGCCTAACTAATATGGACCAAAAGAAGCTAAAATAAGACGAACACCGTTTATAACATAAAAATTGTGTCAACAAGCACATGCAACGAAACTAAATTAAGGGATCAAATGTATGCCACCAACACTCCTACGGTATAAAAAAAATACATCATCACGGCTAATTCTATTTTCCATTAATTTGAACTTCATTTCCTTGAGCTTTAAATATGATCATTCCTTAAATGTGGTAGATGAAATAATAGGGTTAGGGACTTAGGGTAAAGAAAAGGGTATTATAGAATAAGGGCAAAAAAAAAAACTAAAAAAAAAATTAAAAAATAATAATTTTTTTTAGTATTTCTTATCGGTTTATCGATAAACCGATAAACCGAAGAGGACAAAATCGAAATCAAAATCGATAACTCGATAAGGAAAATTTCGAAATCGAAATCGAAATCGATAAATCGATAAACCGATAACAAATAATCGATTCGATTTATCGATAAACCGATTCGAATGCACACCCCTAATCCCAATTAAGAAATTATAAAAACAGCAATATAAATAGTCAACACTTGAAAAGTGAAGAGATCCTAGATACATTACAAAGCAATCAACTAACAAAGGCATGCAAGGATACAACTAGGGCTTAAGAACAAGGAAACTAACTTACTACGGCCGTACGTGGACCTTGAAAATACTAAAATCAACACTAAACATAAGTTTCGCGTTTTTATATGGTTTCAAGTACAGATAAGTAGTAATTTCATGGTGAAGTAATGCTGTGACGCATTGAGTACATGAATGCTGGATAATTACAAATTATGTACTATAAAACCTAAAACCCCATGGAAATAGCTTTTCTCCAAGCCAGAGGCAACCACCTCACTAGCAGAAAAGCTCAACGACTTGTGTATAAACTCCCCCAACAGTAATATACTGAAAGAAGCAGAAATCAGCAATTCAAAAACCCATTCGTACAGTAATACCTGACAGAGTAAGCTACCAACTGCCTTTTACCCAGTAATCCTTTCAAGTGTCCATGAACCCGAACGTACATGCCATTTCTGTTTGACACAGAACCCGAACAAACAATAAAACATGATATTAAAATAAATCTTAGGTGAAAAAATAGCACACTATCAAGAAGAAAAATTACGTGACTGCTTCCATTTCCTTGGCATCAACAGCTTCATTTACCCTGCATAGTATGCATCAACCAAACTTTACAATTAAATTTTTAAAACAGAAAGTCAATTGTGTCAGACATAATAGCAATTGACTAGATTATGGTTTTACATAAGAGGTATAGCAATTCTGAATCCTTCACCAATAAGAGATGCACCACAATGTAGTTGTGGTCTATGATGACAGAAATAATATCGACGCCATACCCATCAGTCAGATAGAATCCTAACCAAATTAAAGTCAGAACAGAAAAGGGAAAAAAGAAACTGACAATTACCATCGAGAACAGTCAATGCGCCCTGTTCCATCATCCACTACAAATGAAACTTCTGTAACCCTTTCCGCTTTGTTGAATAAAATACCCACCACTTTCACCTACGAGCACATCAGATTCTAAACCATACACATCTTGCATAAACAAAACAGTAAAAGCCATGAGTATAAGAGACTTACATTATTCACGTCAACCCCATCAATGAGAAAGTTTGTCTTATCATCACTTGATTGAAAGGCTTCACTAATTTGCTTGACGCTTAAAGGAAGCAAAGTCTGTGAATCACGATTCTGCGAATAGAGAAATAAAAAGAAAAACAAGAAAGATGTTATCACCCCTGCATTTCAATTTTCCACGACCATATTAAGATGCTACATTAAGCAAGAGAATATAATATGCTTTAAAAATTCTTTTATTTCCTTCGCGCCGAGTCAAAACCAATTACACTCTACATGACACTTGAGAAATTTAAGGAACAGATAAACAAGAGAATATAATATGCTTTAGAAATTCTTGTATTTCCTTCGGACCAAGTCAAAACCAATTACACTCTACATGGTACTTACGAAACTTAAGGATCCAAAAAGAAACTTACTCTAATTTAAAATTGAAATGTAGAACATTGACAAAGTTTCTAAAGACCAAGAAATGCATGAGTAAAGATATACTCTTTATTTTGCAATATGCTTGATCAGCTTTCGTTAGTCCATAGTTACTAACCAAATCTAGAAGCATGTTCCAAATTTCTCTAGCAAATTTACTACTTATGTGATATTAGATGTCTGACTGATTCTTCTTCTGTATCATGTAGAATAACATCTTAGCACATTTTATGTCCCTTTTTTCGATCTTCCAGATTAATGTAGTTTCATGGACCACAAACAAATAGAGCTACTCTTATTGGGGCTTTTATCCTCCGCACAGCTTATCCTGGAAATCTTTCCTCCCTGTCACCATTTCTGGCCCTAATTTTTTTTTTTTTTGGGACAATGGTGGTGTCAAGCCAGCTTGCGCATACCTCGACTAAATTCATAGGCTACCTGCTACCCTCCCACCGGCACAGATACTGGGTAACTCTGTCCACCAAGGCTTAAACATATGGGGGGAAATAACCTAGTGTTTTTGTCTCCATTGGGACCATTTCCAGCCCTTCTTCTTCTTCCTCTTCTGGCAATTGGCTCACCAATTGCATTAAGTTCGTCTTCAAATATTCAATCTAGTATTTTAAGCATTGCTATCTTATACTCCCTCCTTCCAGAAAGAATGGCACTGCTGCTATTAGGGGAACCAAACATTTTATTTTATTTAACTAGTTTAAACACCTCTAATATACTCTTAACTGTAATGATTTATCATTATTTACGTAATTACTAAGCAAACAAACTTTCTAAAAAAATTAAACAATGGAGGACCCAAGTTAATTCATTTTTTCCCTTCACATTCCTACATAGCCGCAAAAAAAAAAAGGAACTACAAAGAAGAACTAAAATACGCTCTTAATTTTTAAGGTTTATTTTGAAGTTCTTCCCTTCATTTGTTTTTGGCAAATAGACCATAGTTTGAAGTTCTATGAAAGGCATATTAGGGTAAATGAAATATTAAAGCTTTCACATTTTGTATGCCAAAAAATAAAAATAAAAACAGACCTTGGCTGGAGAGAAAGAATGATCGCCGGCGGTTTGTGTGGCCTGCGATGGCATGAAACCGCCGCCGGCAAACGCCGCGTTGCCGTCGAATTGGCTATTCCCGCCGTACATCCTTCTGTGTGTGTGTGTTGGTGTGTATGTCACACTACTGGGGTTCCCGCCCTTTTAACTCTCTTTCTGAGACTTCCTCTGGAATCTTTTCGCGCTTAGCACCTGTAATATAAGAAAACTACGATTTGGCCCTTAGGCACCAATTATTATTTAATTTAATATATGTGAAATATAACTAGTCATACTTTGGCGAATACCTTTTTTGTCCTTTTGTCTAAAATTAAATATAATATCTATATTTTGTTAATTAATATCTGATAGTAATATTGGTTAATCTTCTCGTGCCATTTTATGTAATATCCTCTTCTTTTTAGCTATCCCAAAAAATTTGTTGCATTTCTATATTGAAAACTATTTAATCTTACCAACTTCACATAAAAGTTCACTTTTTTACGAGGAAAAGATATAAAGACATGAAACTCTTACCATTATTTATTTATTGTTGCTAGTAAGGAAAAATATCGATACTTCAAATATAGGACGAAATTCAAAAATAGCGAGATTTACATGCGGTCGCTCAAAAATAGCCACAGTTTCAAAAATAATCGAAATTTAGCCACTTTTCATGTAAAGATAAATCTGAACGAAAACACTGTTCAAAATCCAGAAAATGCCCCAGCATAATATACTAGAATTCAAGTATAATATACTGAATTTTCAGTATATATACTGGTCCAGCATAATATGTTGAAAGTTCATACACAGGTGCTCCAATCTCCAGTATATTATGCTGGAACTTTCCGCGTGTTGGAGTTCCAGCATAATATGCTTGAAGTGCACCGATCTTCGGTATATTATGCTGGAATTTTTCGGGTTGCAGCAAAATTGATAATAGGTGAATTTGACTATAATCACACCTTAAATAATCACCTTCTTGTGTAGTTTTAATGCTAAAAGTGATGACAAAATGCTCTTATTAGTGCTTTTCATGATTTGTAGGTGATATATGTATAAGGACGGCTAAGGAGCAGTTTTGGAGTCAAAAGTGATGAAAAAGAGGCCAACTGTGAAATTTCCTAAGTGACCCGTGCAAAAACAGGCCGAAGATTCAGAGAACTGGATCCACCGCGGTTCCACTGCGAACGCGGCAGAACCGCGGTGGGAAGCAGCTGCAGAAGATTGAGATTCCGCGAGGGTGTTTGGCCGCGGTTCTACCGCGACCGCGGCAGAACCGCGGGAGGCGCAGTAAACTTCAGGGACCAAAGTGTCAATTACGGGATTTTTAGATCTAAACCCTATTTAAAACATTAGACTTCGCCCAAGAGAGGCATGTATTGATTTTTTAGGTTTCTTAGCAAGGAAAAAGATTGGGAGAAAATACTCTAAACATCTTTATTCTTTTCTTTTGATTTTATGATGAATTCAATCTTAGTTTATTTTCCCATAGCCACGAGTAGCTAAATTCCTTGTCTAAGGCTTTGATGGAACCTATTGGGTGATGAACTTCTTGTTTATGTGAATACAAATTGCTAGTTTAATCTTTATTTGTTCAACCTCGTGTTCGTTGTAGTTAATTGACAGGATCCTCAATTAGCTGTGCCTATTTAGTGTGCATAACTTAGAAAAGAGTGCATATTTAGGGTATTGTTGAACAACACCACTCCTAAATTATTAGAGAAATCTATAATTGCGGGTTTAAAGGCGGGATTAGGAATAACGAAGCCTTGGGTGCAATCTAAATTGAATTGTGCTAAATAAAGCAAGCTAGTGTATCTCGAGAGAGTGCAATAGTAGATTACTGTGATTACTCGGGAGAGATTTGCGGCAAGATTAGCGTTCATGATTGATAGAGATGTGTGGGTAAATTTGTATGAGCATAAACAGAAGGGATTCCATCAATATGGGAAATCATTGCCTTAGCTTTTTCTCATAATTGTTTACAACCCTTTTTTTTACTTAGTTACAGCCATTTAGTTATTTGCAAGCTAGTTATTAAAGAACACTCAACTGAGATTTGAATATTGGGGAAGCTGGTTCTGAAGACTTAGTGGGTCTGAAGATAGCGGTTGATAGGTTAACTCTCTATAGATTCGACCCTGGGCGTAATACTCGGGTTATATTTGCAACGTCCGCAGAGTCCTTTTTATAAGGCATAGTTGGGCGTGATCAAGCTCAATCAGGAAAATAAATAAGTAGAAGTAGGGATTTTTCCACACACTATTTTGAGTATAGCCTCATTCCTGTCTCAATTCTATGGTGGTGCACCGTTCAGTCTACCTTTTTTTTTTCTTCTGCTAAGATCGTTCAGTCTACCTTGTTTTGTTTATATTTATGGGTCAAGCTTGGAATTTGATGACTGCTCGAGTTTGACATAACATAAAAGAAAAGAAAAATTAAGGATTGAGTTCCNGTTTTATATGTGTGTTGGAACTTTCTCTTCAAATTTTGTTTATGTGAGGGCATGTGACTCAGGAAGAAAAAGTGAGTCTTCACTTCTGTTAGAGTAATTAGAGTGAGCACAAGTGTGTCTTGGCATGAGAGTCTGCATTTGAGATATGATTGTGCACTGCTTGGGTCGATCATTGATAATAGCAGGTGTGACATAAATTGGGGCAATGCATTGAGCAGTTAGGCCTAGAAGTGTGGTTTAGTTGCTCGAGGACGAGCAAATGTTTAAGTGTGGGGTGTTGATAATAGGTGAATTTGACTATAATCACACCTTAAATAATCACCTTCTTGTGTAGTTTTAATGCTAAAAGTGATGACAAAATGCTCTTATTAGTGCTTTTCATGATTTGTAGGTGATATATGTATAAAGACGGCTAAGGAGCAGTTTTGGAGTCAAAAGTGATGAAAAAGAGGCCAACTGTAAAATTTCCCAAGTGACCCGTGCAAAAACAGGCCGAAGATTCAGAGAACTAGATCCACCGCGGTTCCACCGCGACCGCGGCAGAACCGCGGTGGGAAGCAGCTGCAGAAGATTGAGATTCCGCGAGGGTGTTTGGCCGCGGTTCTACCGCGACCGCGGCAGAACCGCGGGAGGCGCAGTAAACTTCAGGGACCAAAGTGTCAATTACGGGATTTTTAGACCTAAACCCTATTTAAAACATTAGACTTCGCCCAAGAGAGGCATGTATTGATTTTTTAGGTTTCTTAGCAAGGAAAAAGATTGGGAGAAAATACTCTAAACATCTTTATTCTTTTCTTTTGATTTTATGATGAATTCAATCTTAGTTTATTTTCCCATAGCCACGAGTAGCTAAATTCCTTGTCTAAGGCTTTGATGGAACCTATTGGGTGATGAACTTCTTGTTTATGTGAATACAAATTGCTAGTTTAATCTTTATTTGTTCAACCTCGTGTTCGTTGTAGTTAATTGACAGGATCCTCAATTAGCTGTGCCTATTTAGTGTGCATAACTTAGAAAAGAGTGCATATTTAGGGTATTGCTGAACAACACCACTCCTAAATTATTAGAGGAATCTATAATTGCGGGTTTAAAGGCGGGATTAGGAATAACGAAGCCTTGGGTGCAATCTAAATTGAATTGTGCTAAATAAAGCAAGCTAGTGTATCTCGGGAGAGTGCAATAGTAGATTACTGTGATTACTCGGGAGAGATTTGCGGCAAGATTAGCGTTCATGATTGATAGAGATGTGTGGGTAAATTTGTATGAGCATAAACAGAAGGGATTCCATCAATAGGGAAATCATTGCCTTAGCTTTTTCTCATAATTGTGTACAACCCTTTTTTTTACTTAGTTACAGCCATTTAGTTATTTGCAAGCTAGTTATTAAAGAACACTCAACTGAGATTTGAATATTTGGGAAGCTGGTTCTGAAGACTTAGTGGGTTTGAAGATAGCGGTTGATAGGTTAACTCTCTGTGGATTCGACCCTGGGCGTAATACTCGGGTTATATTTGCAACGTCCGCAGAGTCCTTTTTATAAGACATAGTTGGGCGTGATCAAAAATAGTAGCTATTTTTCAATGACTTTGCAAGCGCTATCTACTTTTGAATGATCAGTCCGAAAATTGACTAGCCCGTGCTATTTTCCTTAAAAAAAATTCAGTAAAATATTACATAAAATAGGACCGAGTTAGTGAAAGGTCTATCTTCGAAAATTTGTTGATGATGTACTCAAGTACTGATAATATCATACCAAATAAAATCAAACTCATGTAAAGCTTTCATTGTTTGACACATTTGGAAAAAACATCTTGTGAGCACAAAAAATAATAATTAATTAACCAAACACTAAAAACTAGGAGTGTGCATTCGATTTATCGATTCGATTTTGACCCTTATCGATAATTACTTATCGATTATCGATTTGTACATATGCTTATCGTTATCGTTTCAATAAGGTTTCGATTTTTTCGATTTCGATTTATCGATTTTTGGGGCTTATCGATTCGGTTATCGATTACACCAATAAGAAAATTTGCGGGATTCCACGGAAAGTATATCGCTATAAACACGCCTAACTAATATGGACCAAAAGAAGCTAAAATAAGACGAACACCGTTTATAACATAAAAATTATGCCAACAAGCACATGCAACGAAACTAAAGTAAGGGAACAAATGTATGCCACCAACACTCCACCGGTATAAAAAAAAAAATACATCATCACGGCTAATTCTGTTTTCCATTAATTTGAACTTCATTCCCTTGAGCTTTAAATATGATCATTCCTTAAATGTGGTAGATGAAATAATAGGG